TGTACTCTGATATTGACCAATAGCGGAGCGCTGGCCATATACACATAACATACCACTAGCTATGCCCAGTGTACTCATCCCAGTCTGAAAACTTCATTAAGAGATTATTCCATTTAGTTCATACATCAAAAATTCATGTCCATGCCCAAAATGATGTCCTAAGTCATAAAGTTTCCTACTTTATTACTTTGCATGACTATAAAGTGCTTAATGTCAAAAACCCTGAGTTCTTAACCCAATAAGACATCACAACTCTTGCATGGAAGGGATAAAAGAGCCAAGATTAGATTTTTATAGTTCATAATAGCTTTATAATGGATAAAGTTTCCAACTTTATCCATTAGAATGGTCCCAACAAACAATATCTAGTCATTAAGTCTGAAAGGGACCTAAAAGTTCATCTTTTTCAACTTAACCATTAAGTACAAGTCTCCACCTTTCAGGTCTGAATCAAAATGATGTTTAGATGGATAAGGTTTCCAACTTTATCCATAACAAGGTCAAAAACTTTCAAGATCTAAACTTTATGCACTAAAATGACCAAAAGCTCATAACATCCAAAACTAGTTAGATGTAAAAAATACATCATCAAGATTCAAACTTTATACCTCTAGAAGATAGATCAAGGTGAGCAAAGTTCAGATCTACAAGCTCCAATGCAACCAACACTTCTCCAACAAGTTCCTTCTTCTCCAAGGTGCACCATGCATACTCCAAAACAATTAAAAACATGTTCTTTTAGCACATAAGGGTCAACTAGGGTTAGGGTTTCATGGAATGGGTGTTGGAGAAGTGGAGGCTGAGAATGGAGTGGGTTTGGGGAGTTAAGGAGCTTAAATAGGGTTCATACCACGAAAAGAGGGTTTGGGTACTGATTTCATACACCATCACCACTACCCGCTACTTCCACCCATCTCCACCACCCATCACTACCACCATCCTCCACTACCACCAACTACCATCCGCTACCACCACCTCCCTACCACCACCCACCATTATCACCACCACCAGCCACTACCACCCGCCTCCACCACCACCCCCCTGTCATCACCACTTCCACCCATATATATATATATATATATATATATATATATATATATATATATATATTGTTTTATTAGTTTTTTAATAAAAATAATAAACACAAGAAATAAATATGATAACTTAGACACATATAGAAAAAATGATAAAAAATATATTTTAAAGAAAAAATTTTATGCAAAGTTGTTTTCACTTTTTTGATGAGTTCAATACAATAGTGGATTAATACAACGCAATTTATAATATTAATAAACAATTTATGCAACTTGTTCATATACTAGATAATATCAATACCTAAATTAGACAATACGACCAATGGTCATAATACATTTTTTTATAAAAAAAAAAGTAATAACATTGTTTCTTATCTTTTGTATCAATGTTGTAAAACTTGTCTAACACACATTTTTTATTAAAAAAAACACTCTTGCTTACCTTTTGGTAATTAAAGACCAACATATCTCTTTTTACTAATCAGTAGATATGAAAAATAAACTTTTTCACACTCAAGCTTGATGGGCTTTAAAAAACACAAAGAATCGGTCAAAAAACAAGTCATAAAAATATTTATATTATTGTTAAGAGAAAATTTCACCTTGATGAAAGTAGCACTAATGTAGTCAGTAGTTTCCCTACCTAGCTTCATGGCTTCATCCACAGTAGAGACACCAAATTTTATCCCCATAAATGAACTGGATTTCAAATAATCAGTTTAAGTATAAGGGTAGAGGTAAAAGTTGAAGCCTCAAAGTATAAATGTGCCATTCTCCAACTTTAGCCATTAAACATGGCGTATATATTAAGTGAAAACGAAACACTCTGATATATCGTCATGAATTAAGTGATAACCTATTATTTCCATTAATTGAAAAATAAACAGCCCCTTAGTATCTTAAATAAAATTCTACAATAATATTAATAAATGTTCACCTTCTAATTAAAACTCCAACTTAAAGGCAAAAGAATATGTAGATACTTCTAATCCATCCATTAATTAACATTGTGAATACAAAAGCATTTGTAAATATAATGGATAGTTTGGTGGTTCATGAAAGCGGCTACAAAGATGAAATACAAAAACCGGCCTTTGGGGTTAAATTATACATAGACATAATAACATCTAACTACCTTGAAAGATGTATATATTCTTAGAGGACTTTCATCGAACACATGATAGGCAATGCAAATCAACTTTCAAAAATGAGTACTTATGTTACTATATCATCCAATTCTGCCATTGCTCCAAGTTCATCACAACCAATTCTCATTTTGTTCCACAAATAAGTAAAGAGTAAAGTAAAATTTGTGAAAATTTTAAAATGTTATAGATGCCCTAACAATTGATTTTTGTCATCATTTTATACACTAAGATGAAATGGAAATATACATGAGATTATGGCATCTTAGTGATTATTCCGGTGAATTTCAAACTAGATTGAGCAAGCATCATTTAGATTGTTACTTATCTAATTACGTCTCATGATGACTTGCAACATATACAACACTTGCAAGGCTGAAATGTAGGAACATGGTTCCTAACTCCATGACACAACCACCTGTAAAAAATGTCTTCCTAACAGTGGTTATCTCCGGTAGTGATTGATGGTGCTGATGTGATTTGCGGGAGGAGATAGGGTTGGGCAGAGGGCAAGATCAGATTTAGGTGTCGTTGGTTTTGTGTCTGAATAAGCAAAGCACGTGGAATAGTTAGGTGAAATTACACATAGGTCCCTCTTTTAATTAAAACCGATGTGTGTTTTTATTTTGTTCTCAAATGTTCTCAAATTCAACATTGTTCTCATTTGAACATACTTCTATATATATATATATATATATATATATATATATATATATATATATATATATATATATATATATATATATATATATGTAAACCCTCGTTACCATCTTATTTCGTTCTCCCCCCGTTTTCTTCATTGTTCTTCGCTTTTTCAGTGCATCAATTTCTCAAGCATCGATCGTATAATCCTGTTGTTCGAAGTCATAATACTCTTTTAATCATCTTGTTTATCCATGGTAATCTAAGTTATTATTCATGTTAGAAATTATCTTTTGTAATCATTGTAATGATAAGAATCTTTTACAACAACTTTTTTTTATTTCTTAATGTTTGTTTTCATATTTCTAGTTCCTTTTTAACATCATTTTCTTATTTGTTTTATTAACATGTAGTTGAATCAAAGAAAAGGAAAAGATTAGCTCTTCAGAAGGATGCAAAAGACAATATTGTTGATCTTTCTTCTAATAGAAAGGCTTCATAAATGTCCAAGTCTTTTGTAGATATTTCATCGTCTTCTAAAGGAGCTTCATTAGTCAAAATTGTAAAAGTTAATAAGGTTTCCAAGACATTAAAAGTCCAAATGAAGATGATGATTTTGTTTCTGCTCCTGTTGTTGGTCAAGTAAATGTTAAGAAGGCTGAAATTGTATATAGGTATCCTCCATGTTTAATATCTAGTATATATAGAAGCCTTAATGATAATCAGAAAGGTGTTGTTAAGGAAATAGGGTTTGGATTTATTGAAGACGTTGTGGTTATAAAATTTTCTAGGGAAATCTATTCGTGGGTTCTTGAGAGATATGATGAAAAGAGAAATGTTCTTTGTATCAACAATAATGATATTTATATTACTTTGAGAGGTGTGCATGATATATATATGGACTTCCAATGGGTGATATTTCTATGAAAATTCTTATGAAAAGTCGTTATAGGATTGTTGTTAATAAAAACTAGAGGAATCGGTTTTCTATTTCTAGGATTAGGCTTCCTAATCTCAAAGAGCTTTTAGAAAAAAGCACTAATTCAGGTTTCTTGTTTTTATTGAATTTTTTGGTTGCATGTGTGACCATCATGGTTATTGGTCTATCAATGGGTACATGCAACCAAAAAAAATTTAGAAAATTTTGATGAAGAAGTGTCCATTAAAGATCTTGATTAGTGTGGCTTTGTAATTGATTATTTAAATCATAGTAAAAGGTTGTTGAAATTTGAATCGGGTTAAATTCATATCAAGAATCCTCAATACACTGGTCCTGTTGTGTTTTTAGTGGTAAGTTTAAATTCTATATTTTTTTGAAATATTTTTTCTCAATTTAATTATTAATGATATTTTGTTTTCATACTATATAGATATTATATCTTCATTTCATAAAGTTATCTTCAGAGTCATTTGAAAGGGTATATCTTGCATCATCTTATTGGTCTCCAATTAAAGTTAAAGATAAATTAAAATAAGCATTTAGTGATGGAGGTTATGAAAAAGTTGAAGTTATTCAAACATATGAAGATTTTGCTGATGATGCAATAGTTAAAGATTCTGAAATAGAAACAGGTTTATATATATATATATATATATATATATATATATATATATATATATTAAATATTTTTATTTTTATAATCTTATTTAATTGTGTTTTTTGATATTTTAATAAAAAATTGTTTTTTATATTTGTAGATGAAGAACAAATTAGTCTTGCTAATGTTTTGAGAAGAAGAATGGAAAAGAAAAAGATGAAAGAGAAAGAAGAAAACAAATTTGTTGTTGTTATGAATAACTATTGTTGTTATGAAAAAGAAAACATATAAGAAAAAGATGAGAAAGAATATTCATTTGAAAAAATGAAAAAAAAGTCCAAATAAAAAAATCTGAAGCTCAACAAGTTGAAGATAATTTGATTTTTCAACTAATTATTATGTTTATTTTCCTTTGTAATTTATTACATTTTTTATTTTTTTGGATCATCTGAAAAAAGAATCAATATTATTCATGAGAAATCAATTTAGAATGAAGTTCTTTTTGTTTTGGATTTTGCTGACAAAGGGAAAAAAAGTTGTTGAAGATAACACAAAGGAGAATCAAGTGAGTAATAATGGTATGTTTTATTCACTTTTTATTTTCTTTATTTGTATTTTACTTTTATTTTTTGAATCAAGTCATGTTATTTCTGGATAATGCTGATAAAGGAAAGAAGTTTGTTCAAGAGAACATGATTGTTGATAATATGAGAAATGATGGTGAGTTTTTTTTTAAAGTTTTTAATATATATTTTGATTTTTTTTATAAATATTATAATGTGATTGAAGATTGGATGGATAGCAGTCCTTCTGTTCCTTGCTTTGATATTATTTTTGATGGTTCAAAGTTTTTAGAGGTATATATGTTTTTGCATTATGTTTTTGAATCATATTAAATTTGATCATTATTTTTTATGATCTGTTGACTTAAATATTATTTTTTAGGATTTTAAAGAGAAGATTGAGTTTTTGTTAAAAAGTTATAGTTACTTGAAGCCTACCATTGATCATTAGATCAATCGTGCTTGGAATCAATTCCCAAGCAACATAGAGATTTTGTAGTATGCTGATAAAAGAAATGTTGAATTTAATAAACCTCATCAAAATATTGTGTTATCTTGTGGTCCATAAATAAATTAGAAGGTTGAAGTTTCCAAGGATTTTCCTAATGTTGAAAAACAAAGTGATGATGTTCCCCTTTGTCAGGAATTAAGAGATGTTCAAGTTGATCAACTGCCAATGAAACAATTTTTGGATCATCCTAGGGTTCTGGAACAGTTGGAGGTGTTAATAAATTCAAATGAAGTTTCGGATCATCATAGTATTGAGCCAAATAAAATATTGAGTGATCCAGTTGTTTCAAATCAGTTTCATGGTCCTGATGCTATTATTTCAAACCCTTTAGGAAATCCTTCTCCTGTTTGTGCAGATCTTGATTTGGTTATTGGTGAATCTTTTAAAAACACTGTAGGTGAAGTTGTTGGATTCAAACATTTAGGGGTAGTTTAAAATTTGTAACAGCCCAAAAACACATACCAAAATTATTTATTTAACTTATTATAAAACTCATAATTAACTAGGGTAAATAGAAAATCATGTCTCTTGTAACTCAACATCATAATAAATCATCTCAACAAAACACGTAGAAACATCAAAGTGAAAATCCCAGGAAAATGTCTGAGCTGTGTGCTATGCCATCATCCCAAGCCCTTCCCCTAGCTACCTGAGGTACCTGAAACCAAAACTGAAACTGTAAGCACAAAGATTAATGAGCTCCCCCAATCTACCACATATCATACAAAACATATATAATTACTTGGCCCCGACCGACATCAGACCGACCGAAGTCCGGAATAAGCTGAACATAATATATCATTTAACATAATCACAAAACATGCATGAGTCACAAATACATCAAGCATACATAACTACTTCTCGGAACTGTCCCCAAATCGGGCCGAGATCAAGAAAAATATAGATGCATAGGGCTACCCTCCGGTATTCTATACACGAGCGAGGAATTCCCTATCTGCTGCTTTGGTGACTTCCCGACTATCAATTCATAATAATACTTTAATCAACATTTGGAAATTTTTCCTAGGGTGAAATGGTCATTATACCCCTGGTCGAATTCAAAGTCCTAATCAGAGTCAAACTTCCAAGTTGACACTACTCGCCGAGTCCATCTATTGACTCTTCGAGTATTGTAACTCTTATCATTACAACTCGTGACTTGAATCATCGAGTCATTCTATGACTCGCCGAACCTCTCATCCACCACGTTCCTCATCCTCCGAGTTCCTGTTCTGCCCAACTCACTAAGTTACCCATCTACTCGCTGATTTAACTCGCTAACAGGGAATTTAGGATTCGCGACCAGACTCACCAAGTCAGATGAACAACTCGTCGATTCTTTGCATGAAATTTCTAAAAAGTTGATCCTAACCGATTTTAGTGCATCCAATTCATAGATCTGGACTTCTAGGCCAGTATAACATGTAAAGTTGCCAACTTTATGTGCATTTATCCAAGAATGAAGCTAAAATATCAAACTAGACTACAAATGGGGAACTAAGGTTTGAAATAGGGCCATGGATGAATAAAGGTAGCTACCTTGAGCTCCTAGAGCTCAAGGGTACCCAGATCTATCGTCCATAACCTCAAGAGAGCCCCAAACTCGAGATTAGCCTTGGAAATGATCCATAAAGGGACAAAACAAGCATAAATGAAAATCTACAAGGGAAGGAGCAAGTTAAGGTGTAACAACCAAAAATTTCAACATAATTTAAACTTTTCAAAACAATTCATTTTAATAACATTACTACAAAAAGATTTTCAGTACATTATTTATCAGAATATTCCCAGGTCCATTTCATAAAACATAAACACGAGGAACGGTACGATCACGCCTTTGCCTTGCCACAGTCTCCTGAATAACCTGAGAAACATTAAACCACAACTGTAAGCCCGAAAGCTTAGTGAGATACCCCCAAAATACCAACCACATATACGCCCTTCCAGGCCACGACCTTCCGGTCCAAAACATATTGCCTTCCGGCCATAACATATTGCCTTCCGGCCCATAACATATTGCCTTCCGACCCATAACATATTGCCTTCCGACCCATAACATAAAAACCGTACATAACATAACATAACATAGAACAACCATGTATATCGGGTCAAACTCCAGTCTAAACAACCCTGTGCACATAACATTCAATCATATAATAGTTCGCAATCAACAAATCGATCAAGCAGATCACATAACATATCATTACCCTAACCAGGATACCGACCTAGCCGATCACGACCATATATCACCCTACGTCTCAGTCAAGATACTACTTACACACATACGCCTTTCCAGGCCATCACCTTTTGGTCCACATAACGTAGAATGCCTTCCGGCCCATATCATAATGCCTTCCGGCCCATATCATAATGCCTTCCGGCCCATATAATAATGCCTTCTGGCCCATATCAAGCAATACCATAACGAACAACTACCCGGATTTCCATCCGGTAAAGGGTCTGCCTTGGTGCCGTAGACCCTATTGATATAGTGAGGATAATTCACCTCGAACTGCCGGCTGAAAGGATAAGATCCCGCTGCTGCGAACTCCGACACGATCTCCTCCACTGAACACCAAAACACTCAACTCAATATATATCCTTAATTACCAAAATACCCCTGGACGACAACTGGTCAACCTTGGACAAAGTCAAAGTCAAACCCTGACTGTCTCTACTCGCCGAGTCAACCCGATGACTCGCCGAGTCCCCAAGCTAAGAACTTCCCTCAACCCGCGACCTAACTCACCGAGTCACCCCGAGACTCGTCGAGTCCAACAACTCTGAGTCCACTCGCACCCAACTCACCGAGTCATCCCTTGACTCACCAATTCTCGACTCAACCAGAAAATATTGGGACTCTTCGACAAGACTCGCCGAGTCTAAGGCTATCTTCAATCTACTCGCCGAGTTGTTCATCCAACTCGTCGAGTTCCAGCTTATCTTCAAGCAACTCGTCGAGTCCACCCTTGTGACTCGCCGAGTACAACCAGTCTGAATCCAAATAGAAGTATTTCCAGGCCATGCAATTGATCCAAAACATAGATCTAGCCTCCTACAACCCATCCATCACGTAAAGTGGCAAACATTACGTGAATCCAAAGAGATCTAGGCCTTATTCACTTTAGAGCTAGGGTTTGGGACACGATGGCTTCACTAAGCACTCAAACACAGGTAGCAACCTCAGATCTAACCTCCAAACTCCAAAACATACCAAGATATACTCCCCACAAACCCCAAAATGATGAATCCATATGAGTGATAGCCCAAGAACGAGATATTACCTCAAAAGAATACCCCAACTACAATGAAACTCGAATCCAAGCAAAGCCCTTTGATCCAAGCCTCTTCACCTTCAAGATTTCTTCAACAAACACCTCCCCAAGCTCCAAATGCACTCCAATCTTCTTCAATCACGCTTTCTAGGGTTTCTGGACTTCAAGGGGGATCAAAGAGGCTGGGGAGAGGATATAATGTTCTTTAAATAGGGCTCATTCCCCGGATTTAGGGTTTTCTCCACTCAGCACCTACTCGCCGAGTCCATCTTTGGACTCGCCGAGTAGGCCACCTGAGTCGCGACCCTACTTGCCGAGTCCATCCATGGACTCGCTGAGTTGCCCTTCAAAATTTACACTTTTAGTCCTTCTACTCTACTCTTGCTATTCTGGGATGTTACAATTCTCCCCCACTTAAATTAGGCTTCGTCCTCGAAGCCTACGGCAACTCATCTCAAAATACTTCCACAACGCGCCACCTGGCCTTAACCGGGCCAGGTCCCTCAAGGCATACCCATCGAGACTCGAACTCACTTTCTCCTTCCTTGCAGTGTCCTGACCACCATCTCAAACCGGGCACCGGCTTTACCCTCTGATAACCACACACAACAACTGAGTACCACCCATGATGCATCACAGCTCCAAATCACAACCATTACTTGACCCATATGAGCTATAAGTAAGTATGCACCACCCGAATCCCCGATCTGAGTCCAACTCTATCCATCCCATGCTGACAGAAAGACACACTCTTCAGAGCAACTCCCATGAGTTCTCTTATTGCAATCGAATGCACATGTTGAACTAGCTCTAGCGCCCTCGGGTTAGGAAACCCATCACTATGACGACCCTCAAACATCCCTCAGGATGAACCACTGATACACAAATCCTTTACCGAAATCAAGCTGGAAATCTAAAACTCCATATCTACATCCCTTACAAGCCTCTTGTCTTTACAGCCCTGGAATTCCCTTCTACGACCCCAGCAGACATTCCTCCCTCTTTCCTTACCAAGGAAAACCACTTGACCGCCTCGTCACAATGACAAGAGCCACGATGCTCACCCAACGCTACACCGCCTCCTTATAGCATAACCGTTATCCATGCAACACATATGCCCTGAATCTGCTCGCAAGGACTCTCGAGTCCATGCACCATCACCACTAATCAAGGTCAATACCCGGGGCCAGACCTTCTGATGCTAACACATCGCAGCATACTCAATTCATTACTTCGCACCGATCCGATAATACCGACAGAGTCTTCAGCATGACTGGGCCACCTCACCAGGTCTTCAGTCAAGCTGGACCACTCTCAAAACCCTCAGCCAATCTGGGCCGCCCTCTAGGGCTTTCCGTTTGGCTGGACTGTTCACCGAGCCTTCGGCCTGACTGGTACGCCCATTGTCCTTCAGTCTATCCGGACTGCTCAGCTAGCAATCAACATTCCGAGTTACCTCTCTGGGAAAACCTCCCATGCATACTGTTCTATCCCCATAGGGGTTCCGAACTCAATCTCTATTATACATACTCGAACCCAACCTTATCCCAGGTTCTACACAATCAATGCCATACGTCTGTAATCCGCCCCGTACGCCTGCTACTTACCTATACCAGCCTGCTCTCGGCTGAAAGGAATACCGCCGAAACCCAAACACCTAAACAACCTCTCAAGTCTATTGATCATCCGGAGAATTTCCAATTATCCCCCACTTAGGGCACTGACTATCAACCACTGGCCGCTAACACCGACCTCCCAAAATAATCTTGCACAAAACCCAACGCTTACACGCAGACTGATTTCCACTAGCACTAACAACCTTCGCAAAACACATTTCCACACTGATCAATCCGTTCAAAAGTACTCATTCCTCAGCTAACCACTCCTCAGACTGAAGATGCTACCCGACATTCAACCAACGGCATATCTCCACTAATCACCCTCACGAATGATAACCAACGATAGCACAAAACACCAAACTATAACCTTACCAAACCTTCAGGGAACAACGGATACCAAAACGAGAACCCGAATCACAATCCATAACCATGCCAAACCCTCGAGGAACACGGATACCAAACGAAAACCTGAAACACAAATCCATAACCATGTCGAACCCTCGAGGAACACGGATACCAAACGAAAACCCGAAACACAAAT